CATTAGCATTATTAATATCACAAAACAATAAAATTAACTTAAAGGTATCATTTGAAGAACTAATTGACCCGCTGTAGGTTCATGTTTATTTCGTGTTTTTATGACGAAAAAATTATATTTAAAAACATGTCCATACAAATGATAAAAGTATTAGAATTACAACCACTAATTTTTTTTATTTTTATATCACCATATTTTTATTTAAAACGTATTCTTTTCTCTCGCTTCATCCGCCATTACTAGCATTAAAAAAACCTCTGGTCGGGCCGCAATGCATTATGGGATACGCTGGGCCGGCAAGGATCCATCGGACCTGTCCTTCGATTTGGGCCAAAGGAAGGACGTATTTGTCACCTGCATCGGAGGAGTCTTCGGTTTTGGATGGCCTTCGTCGCGGCGCTGTGACGTACTGTATGCGGCTGACAAATTCGACCTTCGGAGGACCCGTCCTGCCGTTTTGGACACAGCCAATAGCTACCGCTAGCGCTCCAATGCAGCTAAAGCTTCCCTACAGAGGGACAGACCAATGGGTTAAACTAAATTCATTCAAATTTCATAATCAGCTATAAATATGACTGTTTATGGCTTATTAGGATTTGATTCCCAACATGTGTCCTAAACAAACAAACTAACGATGTAATGATGGTAAAAGCTTTAAATTCTGTTAAAGTCTTTGTATTTAGAGTGTGTGATTAAGTAATAGCAACTCTTTACTGTTTAAAAGAGTCGATCGTCAGATATTGTCCAAGATTAACGTTCAGGGTGGATATAGTTCACTCACACCGAGGACCTATCCACGTCATCATTTACCCAGAATGCTTTGTGTGTAAATAAAATGGCTCCGTCCATGTTAAAATATATTTTTAAAAATTTACAAAACTAAACAGCCTACAGTATTTCTACAGTCTTTATTTTACAGTTAAAATAAATGTTTATCAAATAAAGTCTAATGTTGCAACTAATCGTGGATCACTTTAAGCATTGATCTAAATATATTTAGATGCTTGCATCACTCTCACTGACAACAGTTTGTTGTTAGAGACATCCACCAACTTTCAGCTAAGGGTTGCATTAGGGAGAAGTTGTGGAAGTGGCTGGTGTCCTTTGTGGCGCAGACTGAAGCCACACCGAGCAGCAGGGACCATTTCCCCACCAGACTGGCTGAAACTGCATCATTTCAAGCGGCAGCCATGCTCTGCAACATCAAAACCAGCAGAAAAAAGGAAACTGCTTGAGGGAAACAAGAATTTGAGATGTAAAGATGTAGATGGCTGGAGGGCTGGAGGCAAGGACAAGCAGAGGGGATGCGAAGGTGCCGAAGATGAGAGCAGAAAGCGTAAAAGAGCAATTTAGTCATTTAGTTGATCTGGAGCAGATTTCAGAAAGCGAGGACAGATGGAGGCTGGTGGACACATCAGCCGCTCGAACGGTTCAAACCCGTGAACTCTGCCTCCGCGCAGCAACAGAGGGAGAACTGGAGGCAGGCTTCGCCGCCACCATGAATTCAGATGTCAGATTTTGCTCTTTTATGTTGCCACCCATTTTCCTCTGATTCTTTGAGTGAGTCCAGAGACACTAAATAAAGAGCTTCAATGCTTTTTAGTTCAACTACAAAGCTGGAAAATCAAACCTTGCAGTTTTCCCCCTCACTTTCATTCATAACATGTTGACAGCAGCTGAACTAACAGTGAGTTTAAGATCATTAATGTATGTGACTTATTTATATTAAATGTCAGAACTACAGTACGATGGTGAATGGACTGTACTTATATAGCACCTTTCTAGCCAACAAGCCCACTTAAAGCACTTCACAACTCAATACGTGTCCTCATTTACCCATCACCCAGCACTCCACTGAATCTCTGCAAAGCTAATCTGAGTAAGTCGTACTATAGAATCGAATCATTGCTTTCTGTGAAACTGTATTTAATGTTGAGTACAATATTATCATTTATTTATCAAGTGCTGTTCAGGTGTTTTGTTGCCCACCTGCGCCCACATCATACCAGCTTGGTACCCACCCTGGCAGCCACACCTAAATTAATTTTTAAGCTACTGGAGGTTTTTAAAACCTGAGTGAACCCCCCTCAAATCAAACAAAATTGGTGTCAAACATTTGTCCTGGCTTGTGATGAAGATATGGGGTGTTGGTTTTAGGTCGAGTTGACCTCTAATGACCTCTGGAAACCATTTATTAACATCTTTTAAAATGATTGCGGCAACTACAAATATTTTCGCTGCACAAACGTTTGACACCAATTTAAATTTGTTAGGTTTGAAAAAAGGTGCATTTAAACAATTGTTCTTTATTGTCAGTGTTTTTTTTTTTATTATCTGGATATAATTTTAAAGAACAGCTACAGCACTCTTGCTCGTGACAAAATTGAGGAGCCGATAAGTCTGCGAGCGTCTGCAACTCAAACAAGAAAATTGAGAACCCCAAGAAAGTCTTAAGAAAATCCGGAGAATGGATGCCGTTTGGCGGCTTGTCGCGGTCCAGTGAGATTTTACATTAAGGTTCATGCTGTGTTTTTGACTCAATGGTCCAAATGGTCAGTTAGATAGAATATGTTACACTGTTAAAGTTTTTCCTAATGATTCTAACTTCAGTTCCTATTAAGTGTTCTTCAATACAGTTTAAATAGATCATTAATACTCAGAGTGACTGATAGCCTGTTGGTTTTAAGTCAGTGTGATACTTCCATATATACGGTCTAACAGAAAAAAAAATAAAAGCCTACTTTGAGTTTTTACCTTTTAATCTCAAGTTTAAAAACATTTTTTTATCTGAGCGTTCAGATATCTGCCCACATTATCTCTTGTTTTATTGTGGCTAAAAGTGCTCAGCCGAAGTGTCGAGATTATCTCGAGGGAAATCTACAGCATCTAATAGCTGCTGCTCTCATCCAATAAAAAGTTCACAGTTTACCTCTATCTGTCATCGTTGACACATTATTACAGACATATAAGAGCACAACTCTGTCACTCAGCGAACCCACAGACAGATCTCTTATCACATCTGTAAAAAAACAACAAAACAAACAAAACAAAAAACTGTAATTTTCAGATCTTTCTCTTCATACTCAAACACAGGTTTTCTCAAACGCTCCATTTTCAGTTTTCTCCTAACGCTGGAACTCTGAAAGGAAGAAGAAAAGCTTCGCAGTGTGAGGGCGACAGCTCGACACGCACACACACAGCAAATACAGGAAAACAGCGAGGTGACAACGTATCTGTGTGGCGGCGTCACGCAGAGTCGAGCCGAGCCGTGCGTCTTTAAAATGAGTGTAGTTGAGCCCAGTTCTCTGAAAGCAAATGCAGCTGAAAAAAACAAACAAACCTTCGCTTTGAAGCTAATTTAAGATCAATCGTTGAGGGAAACTCGAGCGACGTTGTTCGCTGGTTCATGTGACGGCCTGAGCTAATCTGTGCTCACAGAGCAAACGCACCTTTTATCTTGTTCAGTTTCGTGAGCATATTTTTAGCAAAAGCATCGACAACGAGCTGGTAATGAGGCTAATTTAGGTCCGAAGAGCCCACATGAGGAGAAGATACATTAAGCTGACTGTGTTGTAAAGGCTTTGATGCTTGGGCGCAGATGTAACTCATCTTTCTGTCAACCTGTCAAACAACCACTACCCTTCCAGATTTAATTTTAGCCACCATCCACAACAACTCATTTAGAGAACTTCAGTCTGACATTAATAGCTGACTGAGCCTCTCCAAGAGGCTAATTTATTTGGTAATTATTCTCCGTCTCTGAACAGCTACAATAAATCATCTCTTCTACGAAGAACTGAAGTGTCACTTCAAGTTGGGAAGCTTCATTTTTATCCAGTTCTGCCTGAAATCCTGAATGATACATGACCATTTATGTCTTTTAGTAATCTTGACGAGCAGTTGAGTCTAAATTTAATTTAAAAAAGGGCACCACAATATGTAAGTTCCCCTCTCTCACCTGTTGTAAATGTCGTCGTCCTCCCCTCCCCAGCCCCAGTACTCGTTTGGAAACCCGTTGATTTTCAGAAACTGCTTTTTACTGAGTCCTGAAACGCCCCCGAAGTAGCCTGCGTAGGGTAACCTGCAGCAGAGGAGGAAAGGGGAAGAAAAGGAGAAAATGCCAGAAAAAAGGTGGGAAGGGGAGATTTCATTAAGGAAGCAGATAAGCAGTGGATGCAGGAAGAAACATTTCAAAGCAGCTGCGCGCATATTCTCGATTAACATGATACTAAAAATAAATCGTGTAAACAAGCAAGACCTTGGGAAAACATGCAGCACTGCTTTCCTGTTTTACTAAATCAAAAAAATGTGGGAAAACATTCTGCACTGCTCCCAGGTGAAGCGATGATTTCCAAAGGGAACAAAGCATAGGATAAACTGAAAAAAAAAGACAAATCATACATAACTTTTGCCACATTCGTGTTAAATCAGAGAAACATCCTCTTACAACAGAAATGTTTGCTTCTGAATTTTTAGGAATGTTAACCTTTAATAAACAGGTAATAAAATTGAAGAACAAGTGTTTTTTTTAAAAGCTGAACCAGCAGCAAACAGTGGAACTGGGTACTCAGCAGAAATCTATTTGCAAATTCTTAACCTGTCATGTTCGGTGGGAAATGGGCTTCCAGCTTTCTTATTTCCTTTGGTGGTCTAATTTATTTGAACAGACCTGAATAAAACATTCATGCTTTCAGTGGGAACCAAGCAAAGTGCAGTGTGGGAGAAAAATTTCCACCAAAACAAACCGATTTCTGTTCTGGCTCTGAAACCAAATCTTACTCTTTCATAAAAAGGCATAAGTTAAAAAAAAAAAGAAAGAAAAAAATACTAAACAAAATATCTGTATTTGTATATGTAGAAAAATGTTTCAGAAGGCAAACATTAATTGAAACAACTAAAATACAGTCCAAAAGTATTAAGGGAATAAATATTGCCTGTTGATAAGATAATTTTATGTTAAAAAATGCCACAAAAACAACCTTGGCATAAAGTGTAGTCCCAAATAATATAGTGAGATGCAATAACACTCATAGTTGTGAATGAGTCTCAGCTACTACCACATCAAATCATAGCTCAATATCTGTAAAATATACTGTATAGCACATTTTAGGTTGTGTAGGGAATTTGTGATCAATAAATTGACGTCTGAATAATGTAGCAGAAAACCAATTGAGTCTAAAAAGTCTTTATTCTCATCTCTCTTCAATCAAATCCAGCACACAGCATCCTGCAGGCCTGCGAACAAAATGACCTTGGTCTTATCTGAATATGAAAACAGACTGTCCCAGGCTGAATGTAAGGAGACTGCACACAAGAACTTCTAAACTTCTACTCATATTGCAATGATTCAACCTTTTAACATATGCCACTTCCTGGTTATACCTCTGAAAGTGTGACCGACGTAGAACGTGACCAACTTTTGTTTACGCAGACAGAAAGAACACATCGATGAGACACACTAATTCTCATTCTCCATTTTAAACTATTTGGCTGCAATGATTGAAAAGTATAAAAATACATTTAACATTTAGTTGATCAGTTACAGAATTTCCTTCAGTAGGTTTATGTTGATTAGCGGTGGTAGTCATTTTGAACTCAAATCCCACCAAAAGTCTTTCTGTTGTTGAGATACAACCAATGGTAATTTATCTTAAAAAATAATGTAGTGATTTATAAAATGTGTTGGCAAAATAAAAATAAAAAATAAAAACTAACGCTAAATCATTAATGGCAAAACTTTAAACAAAGATCAGTGTCAGCTACTACCACACCAACATTTTGATGTGTATCTGCTAAACTTTTAAAGTTGTAGTCAGTAGTTAGTGGATGTGCTGGCTATTTTGGAAGGGGTTTGACTTCAAAAGTCACCCCGTTGTTGATGTGCATCTGTTTCCTATCCGTAAACAGGCAAACAGATGCAAACAAGGGCAAAACAATTATTACTCACCTTTTCTTATTAAAGACAGGTGTTAATATTTTACATCATTTATGCTCATGCATTATCATTACGTGGTTCAAATAACACAGATTGGAGAAAATAAAAACAGGAATGCTAACACCAAGAATCACTATTTTTTAAATCATTGTTTTATTTGGTCTGATCCAACCTTAAATCACCCAAACACACTGTAAATAAACTCTATTTACCTTGTTCATCATCAGAAATAACAATAACACAGACTATCGTTGAGTCACGATGTCTGAAAACACTTCATGACGTCAGATGGATGTGCCCATCCAGAGATTTGTTTTCTTGCTACTTCTTGTTTTCCTTGTTCATAAAATCTTCCATAAAAAAAGAGATGCTGTGGGAAGAGTTTAGTCTCTTTTTAATGTTCAGGTTTATCTAACACACGAATTAAATTTGAACATAACCTTTAAATGTTTCTGGCAATCTGATTTTTTAATGTCTTATTATCTAAGTGGACAATTTATGGGTGACTTTTAACTTTAAGGGAATAATCCATAGTTCTCTAATCTACTACTTACTCTTACCTGTGCAATAACCTGCTACACAAACTGTGCAATACATGCTATGTGCAATACACATATTCTAGAACAGTGTTTCCCAAAGTTGGGGTCGGGATCCAAAGTTGGGTCCCGAACCATCAAGTTTGGGTCCTGAAAAGATTTTCTGAATTGATTACATTTTTGCCTTAGTTGTTACAAAGGAGTGAGGTTATTATATTTAAAATGGATAAATGTAGTATAAAAAATATTGTTACTATGCCCATGTTTTGTGGACCTGATA